CAAATCAGAGTGCATCATAAGAACTCATAACTTGCGTTTCAATGCCTAGAAAAAAAAAAGTAAACAAAAAATTCTCGAATATGGTTGTTCTCAAGTATAACCTGTATGGAATAACACATCCGCGGTTAGAATAAATCATACCACTTTAAAATAAAGATAATACAATATTCAATTACGGAATTGCATAAGGTATAACCCTGACGGAATAAAACATCCTTGGTTAGAAAAAGCAACTAATATATCAAACCAACACAAAATTTTCACATCACACGATGTATGCCACAAATATCGCATACTAGTAATTCCTACCTTCTCAATTTCTACCGTTTTCCACAATATGTATAAGCTGTAATACTTGTGGAATAAAACATCCGTAATTACATAAACATACATATGAAACACTGTAAATTAATACAGATCAAAAATATAAAACAAAGTTAAACACATATATTTACAAAAAGGGATCATGCCTCATATCAAGCATGTCATCGCTTTATGCAACACTCATAACATTGTTACCGTACTGGCGCTTACTTTCAAGCTGTACTTTATAACAAAGTTGCAAAAGAAACGATATATGATATCATGATAAAAAAAAAACGTATCAACTCCAGGCATCATTACGCTTCAGAAGTATACAAACTATCTCTCACAACAGCTACTTCACATTGGTAGCTCAAATTGTGACCAATACCCATTAGTAATTAGCACTACGAGAAAAGTGTACCAAGCTCTTGCATTTAAATAAATAGAGCAAAATAGACACACTCGTACCAATGCATAATTATAATGATATTAAAAACAAAACACACCAATAGCACATCAATATCGCAAATTGTAATAAACAACAACAAAAACTACTTTCATGCAACTGTAAGGAATAGACAGGTCTATGTGAAAAGTACTAAAATAACTAACTTGTCGCATGCATTAACATATGTACATCTCAGAATCATTGCTTTTAAACAAAAAAAAAAAAACGTTATCAGTCAATAAAGAGCGATGGTACAGCTTCACTGACTTTGGCATGGCGTGAATTTACGCAACAACCTCTGCAGGTACGGCCAGCTCTTGACTCCCTGTGGCTCGACCTTCGGTATTAGAGGAATTAAGTCCTGTAGGTAACGAACGATTTCCAAACATCGTGCTTCTTATAATTAGGTTTAGAAAATGGTTGGATGGATAGTCATTTTGACGAAAGGGGAACGTTTCGGTCCCGGATCCATTGGTACAATTTGCACGATCCTGCGGTAAATCCTCATCAAGGGAACGAAACGAAAAATGCAAGGAAACGGGGACATGCATATCGACCACGACTGAGCACAGAAATTCAGCAAATGGTTGGACAGTCATTTTTGAGAACAGGGAAAGCTTCGAAGTCGGGGCCTGGTCCATTTACGTCATCCTTTTGGGAATCCTCATCCACGGAACGAAAGGAAAAATATGTGGATAGTGGGACATACATACTGAACATGACTGAGCGCATAAGTTCAGAAAATGCGGGTTGTAGCGCTTCTGTATAACTGAATTTTACAATTTTCCCATAAATTTCGGCACCACTATAAATTGGTAAAATCTCCGAGAATCGAATTATCCAATGAAGATGATGAACGATGTTGAGTTGGTTTATCTCTAAAGTTTCGTGACATTTCCAGTAATATTTGAATAAAGTGAACACAATCCAAAATGTTCAAAGTTTTTATACAGGATACCGTCGTCCAAAAAATTTAGATTCTCCACCATGTAATAATTATATTGTTTTGAAATGATAATTCCTGGTTAAAGTTTAGAATTTATTCAAGTCCAAAAGTACAAAATCAAAATTCACATTTTTACACAAAAATTCCTAAAGTGAGAGTGAATTACAAATAAACTCAGGCACGTCTCATCTTTGACAACTCCTCCCACATTTCATAAATGAACCAATGAAACAAGTTAAAAGACAGTAGAAAAGTTTGGGGAAAGCTCAATGACATTAATTTATAACACAGGAAACAATTTGAGTAAGCATAACAAATTCAAAGAAACACCAGTCTAAGATCTGACCATAAACCTGATAACAATTATGAGCTAATAGCATCGATACCGTGGGATGGAGAGAGAGAGATGTCAAGTTTGAGAAATTACAAACACGTGCAGCAGTGCTCTTTTTGAAGATCAAATAAAACAATTAATTTTCAATTACAAATTCCCAGTACATCAATTATAATATTTAAACAATACCTAAATCATAAGTACATCCAAGAAACTAACAAATTGTCTTTATCAAAAATATGCATTTATACGCATGTATATAACAAAAGGGTATACAAGCATTAAACTGCAAGATCATAAAATGTTTGATCATACTTAATAGAATAATCCAAAATTACTTCAAAATTGAAAAAAATCACAAGAAAACTACAGCTGTCCTAGAAGGACTTAATTACCCTCATGGATTCATTTTTGGATAAAAATCATATTAACGAGGCCTGATCTACTTGATCTGCGCATATGTTTTAACGCAGCGTCGACATGGGCACGTCACAATACCCTTGACTGCCGTCATAATTGAACACAATAACGTCACAATTAAAATGACGTCAAATTGCGCTAAAATGTTTCGCTGATCTTGCTTACCTGGTAGCTCTATACACTGTGCATTGAAAGCTGGCATTCCTATTATTTTTTTTTTAATATTTAAATTAATAAACAACTTTGGAACCTAATTAATTTTGAGGGATCATTTTTTGGTACAGATTCATTAATTTTATCTTGTTTTATTTCAATTTGTGAGTTTCAAAAACAAACACTGCAACCAAAAGTAAATGATTTTAGTCTTTCTCTTTGAACATGTTGAAGTGTTTATACACACTCTTTTTATTGCAGACTTAAATATGCATGGGTTATCTTCAGTTTAAAAAAAAAATAAAAGAAGTCCATAAATGTTTTAAATGCAACACCGAAATATTTTATTTTTCTATATATTACATGATAATAGTAAAAATCAGAATTTTGTCGCCTTTACCCCTCCCCCCTTCCTCCTCCCACTACCCCTTTTTCCACGTAAAACAACGTCGCGTGTAAGAGAAAAATAAAGCATGGCGAGAAAATTATTTCATAATGTAAGAATTATTTATTTTTTTTAGAAACTAATACGGTATTGCAATCGATTGCTGGTCTTATGTAAACCCATTGCGACCTATAAAATACAAAGTTGGATAGAATAAATCCAAATTTTGTGTTTTGACATGCCCCCTTTTCACTGCAATAAAGGCTACCTCCAATTTTCTTTTCATTTTTTATAAGAAGAATGAAAATTGCATAATATATGTGAAAAACAAAGAATTTCATCATGTATTTTTTTTTATTTGTAAATTTCTTTGTTTATTGAAGAGTTTTAGTACTATGTAATTGTGTATAACTGCGAGTCTATGAGAAAACCAGGCAGGGGGCCATACATGAAGTGTCACTCACATTAATGAAATTTTCCCAAAAGACTTGAACAATATAGCATATAATCACCAGAAAAAAATTTTCTGAAAATTTTCAATATTGGGGCCCACCAAGAGGGTACCCCATAAGGCACCATCTTTATCATCATTTTGTATTCACAATTTTGTAAAAATTGCTATTTTCATTCACCATTCTCTTCTTTTCATTAAAATATTAAGTGATCAAAAGTAAGAAGAAAAGAAAATATATATTATTTATTTCATTTTGCACAATTTTTTTTGTCTTAAAAATCAATGCTATATTTAAACACAGGGGGAATAACTCTTGATATAAAAGAGACTGAAAAATGTGGGAAAAGGGTCGATATTGGACATGTTTTTAAACTGGGTTTGGACGCTTAGATTTTAAATTATTTTGTTTTAAGATAAAGATTGTGAACTTAATAATAATTTCCTACAGGCAATTATTCGGGTTTTGATTATTGGTGACACTGTGCGATTTTGAAATTGAGGAACTTTTCCAAAAAATTGTGATTTTTTGCGACAGAGTTATTTCCCTTTGTTTCATACTTTTATGAACTATATTAGGCTACTATTTAAAAAATCAATATTTTCACTTCAAAAATGGTATGTACAGTGACTGAACATTTTGCAAAAAAATACTTCTGTACATGTGGATAGACCTGAAGTCTCTGACAAGACTGTAGCTCCACTACAAAGGACGAAAAATGTAGAACAATGATTCTGGGTTTAGTCCCATTTTTTTGCTAAGCTCTTTTGCAATTACATTAAAACTGTAGATGTTAAAAAAAATTGCAGATATTTCTCTTTTTTCAAATTAACTGTTGCCACATCATTGATCAACATCAAAAACTGATAAAGACATTTATGTATCACATAATGTGCCAAGTCAATATTAAATTCAAATCAAAATAGTAGAAGGAGTAGCATTTTCAAAATATTTCACAGATATTTCTAATTTTAGTTTTCATGGCAATAGTGTTTAACGAAATGAAAAAGCAACAAATAGAAATATCTAAGTGAAGTCTACTTGTGTGCCTAGTTATAATGAAATCTGAAATCAGACCCAAAATTGTAGAAGGAGTAGCATTTTGAAAAATTCTTTACAGACAAATACACAGCTAGATGGACGAAAGACACCCTACTATTGCATAAGTTTTTCTGGTCTCTGTCCAGGAATGTTAAAAATCATGAATAACATAGTATTACAGTGAACAAAATTTCAAGTCTTACCAAAATTATAAGCATTGCAGTTTTTAAATCATGCATGAACATGTATACAATTAAGTCCCTTTCAAACTTTGTCTAAAATAACTTTGAAGGCTTCTTGTAAAAATGCCTTCATGATGACAAAATATTAAACAAATATATGCCAAATATAAGCCTAATCCATGGACAAGCATCTCATAAAAATATCTTTCCTTTAGAATAACATAAACTACAAAGCAAATAAGAACAATCACAAGTTTAAAGCTATTAGAACTAACAATGAGCTTAAACTAGTAAAAAGGAAGCTTCAATATACAAAAGTCACATGGACTGTGACAGAGCTGATATCTTACTAAGAAGAAATCACAGCTGGCACTTATCTGTGACAGAATTCACCATGTCGTATGCTTCCATAGCATTCAGATCCTTGAGGACCTCATTTAAATCTTCATCTTCTTCAGATTTCACAGTAAGTTCTAATTTTGGTCTCTTTTCCTTGTCAGTGCTTTCTTTTAGCAGCTTCATTTGAAATTGAGCGAAAAGACTGCGAACTTGTTGAGCTGAGATCCAGTCATTTGGACAAAAAACATGATTGCCGTTTTCATCTCGTTCATTGCGGATTTGTAAAGAAACTGTCACAGGGTTTGCTTTTTTCCCAGTTTTTTCACCCTCATCAAAAATGTTTTTTACAAATTGTTTTACCGCTGTTGAGAATCTGACAAATTTTCTGTCTGACTTCAAGGCCCATCCTGTTTTCAGCTGGGATAATTGACTTTCGGAACTTGCATTAGAGGATTGGATGGAGTGAGATTGGTTGTAACACAAGGATTGACTACATTGTTCTGCCCACAGTTCCATGGCAATATCTGTACTGCTATTTGTCTCATGGTAAGAATGACTTCCTACAGCCAAATGTTTTTCTAATGTTGATGGTTTTCTAAATGATCTGATGCAGCCAGGTTCAGTGCAACTAAGGTCTCCATTGTTGTCATCCTGTTCATCAGATTGTGGAGATGCAAATGGAAGCTTCAGCAGGGATGATTGCATACATTCTGGTATAACAGTGGAATCTTCTTTGACCTTTAAAAGAAAAATATGAATATTTTGTATATAGTATGAAACACAAATTCAAAGATCAAAAAAATTACAATACACAGTCTGAATTGACAAAGAAAAAAAAATACCTTCATTTTGGTCTCATCAAACGCAAGATTCTGAGATATTTTCTCCAGTGTACTCTTTGGGATCAAGTGTCCTGGACCAATTCCATAGGCTCTAAACACTCTGATGCCTTCTTCCTCAAACACAAAATTGTTCATCTGACTGATTTTGAAGTTTCTGATAGTTCCTGACAAAACAGGGTGATTTTCTGTGCTGATATCAATCAATGTAATGAATGTATTTTTAACTCCTCCATGACTTTCCAATGCTTTTTTCAGTTGATCTGCATTTTCCACATCGTTTCCTTCATTTGCATACTTCAAAATGTGCATTCTGCATGTTCCAGTTCTTGAATCACATAGATCTTTGCCACTTTGGACCTCGCTAAAATTGTATTCTCTTATTTTGAGCTGTAGGAAGTCGTAATTCCTCCAAATGTAAGACATCAGTGGCATGCTATGATAGCATCCTGCATTGTCAGACTTTAAATACACTTCTGACAGGTGAGGGTTGAGACATTTGAGTTTTTCTAAGCTGTTTTTGAGAATACAGGCAACTGAGAACCATCCCTGATTTCCTCCTTGTAATACATGTACAAATGATACAAGACTGAATTTCTTTTCCTGACTATCTGCATCATCTCTGGGATGTTCAAGGAATATAGCACACGTGACATGCCAGCTGATGCCCTGTTTTCCAAACCAGTTTTGCTGTGATTCACGAAAACTTTGTGGCAGGAATTTCATGGCCCAATCCAAAATCAACAGTGCTTGGTTACTCTTCATATTTTGTACAATCTGGCATTTACTGATATCCTGGTTTACAGTTCTTGTAATATGGGCTTTCCATTCCTGTATATTGTTTCTTGAACGTTCAAAATCATGCTCCAATTCTCTCTGCAAGTCAATTGATAAATTTGTTGCTGATAAACAACTTGAGATTTCATCAATAACTGCTGCAGTGCTACTACATTTCATGCAACTCTCAGTATGCTGATGATCACAAATTTTACTGAAATCTGGATTTGTCTCATCCGATAGGGCATATGTTGTACAATGGTCAATACAAGTGCTGGACTGTGTGACATGCATCTTCAGATCGAATTTAAGGTGTTCATTCACATCTGACAGCTTTTCTATCAAGTTCATTGTTATGTCTCTTGAAAGGCCATTTTCTTGAAGCTTATACAGTATTTTCTGTAACAACTCTACTGCTTCCATTCCATCTGCAGTATAACTGTCCAGTCCTTTCAAAGACTTCTTCTGTGATGCAGAACAGACTTTTATAATTTTGAACAATGTTGCTCTTGAAGGTGTCACCATCTCACTGTCTTCACAGAACATTTCATAAGCATGGATTATTCTTGAGGCAATCATTGTTCTAATCATTTTTGGAATTTTGATTTGTAATCCGGATGATAAACGGAGTGTCTTTGAACCATATCCAACCACCTGACAAATTGATGGACTGCACAAAAACTCGACAAAATGCTGAATTCGACACTTTGTAAGTCTGATCCGATTAATCTTTGGCTGATCAATAATTTGGCCAGGACCATTAGTTGATGCATATTTTCTTGCACAATCTATTTTGTACTTTGTTAAACCATGCACCATTTTACAAAGTTCAGTTTTGGAGAAGTTGTTCACGAACAATGAGAGTATCTGCACTTGACTCTGATGTCCATCAGCCTGATCGTATGCTTTTATTAAGGCCTCTGTCAATGCATCAGTTTCTACCCTTTTTTCCTCTGGCTTGTAGTATTTTTGATAAAGCAAGTGCATTAATGCATTTTCTTGGCCAGGTGCAATGCATTCAAAGGCATACTGAATAACTTCATTGGCTTTCTGTGTCACATAGTCTTTTGTAGACTGCTGTACTTCATCTAATGATGCATTCAGGGTGAAGCGTAAGGGCGTGAATTTACCATCAGACAGTATCTCCATACTCCTGTTTAGCTTTTCTCGATGGTATGTGGGTGGTCTCCAGTAGTCACTTACTGTTCCTTGGGAAGACTGACTCAGAGAAAACTCTGAATTCTGACTGGATTGCTCTAAAAAAGAAAGAGTTTTGATAAGAGATATTGTAAATGTTGAAGACGACATTTTTCTGACTATAATCACACTTCCATGACAATTCTTCCACGGCATATTATTAAACACAAGAGGCCCATGGGCCATATCGATCCCCTAGGCACTGTGACTAGAGAAGATTTTCAAAGAAATAATGCATTTTTACTATATACTCATTTTTGCCCTGCCCTAACACCAGAACCCCTGACCCTGGGGCAATAAAATTCACAATTTTGGTCGATACACTTTTTGCTTATCATTACTATGTACTTTAGTTAGTTTATTTTAATACCCAGGAGCATTTCAGCCTCGCCCTATCACTAGAACCCCTGACCTCAGGGTCATGAATTTCAAAATTTTGGTAGAGGACTCAATGCTGATTACAATCATGCAAACAGTTCCACTGCTTGATGTCCAGGAGTTAAAAAGATTTTTAAAGACTGCATTAATTTTGGTGGTTTTGGCCCCCCCCCCCCTCAGGCCCCTGGAGGGGGGGGGGCAGGGATCATGAAATTCAAAATTTTTGTTCCCCTTCACCCATGGAGGATTTATGCAAAATTTGGTTGAAATTGGTTCAGTGGTCAGAGATGCTGAAAATGTTCAAATGTTAACGCACGACGATGGAAGAAAATGGATACCAATAGGTCACCTGAGTTTACTCAGGTGACCTAAAAAATCTGATGTATTCATTTCTATGGAAAACTTCAATCATCCATTGTGGCCCCACCCTACCCACGGGGGTTATGATTTGAACAAACTTGAATCTACTGGTACACTACCTGAGGGTGTTTTCACATCTTTCCTGGCCCAGTGGCTCTTGAGAGGAAGATTTTAAAAGATTTTTCCTATATATTCCTATGTAAAACTTTGATCGGCCATTGTGGCCCAACCCTATACCCGGGGGACACCTGAGGATGATTCCACATGAATTTCATCTTTCCTGGTCCAGTGGTTCTTGAGAAGAAGATCTTTTAAAAATGCCATTCATTTTTCACAAAATCATAATTATCTCCCCTTGGAAAAGGGTGTGGCCCTTCATTTGAACAAACTTGAATGCCCTTTACCTAAGGATACTTTGAAAATGTGAAACGTTTACAACAACAACAACGACGATGACGACAGACAATGGACAAATTTATGAGCCTTCGGCTCGGGTGAGCTAAACATTCCTTGAAAAAGTTCATGGTAATACAGAAGATTGATATAACACATTTGCAGATATACTAGTATTAGCAAACTTATTTTGTGTCCCATTTAGTTAAGAACTGTGCTCACAAATACAGTCCATCGCCCAAAGCCTAATGCACAAAATTACAGCAGCAGTGCTCCGTTCTATCAATATATATTTTTTCGGAGAGTTACAGATCTGCAGCTAGGATAGGACATGGAATATGAAATTATTCTTTCAGACTGAGTGACCTTGAACTAGTTTGCACAGACATGACCTTGAGCCAAGGTCACGACACATAATATATTACAGATATAGCAAGTATATTCACAGCTTTTCTTGACATTGCTATTATTTAATAACAGAGTTTTACTGAATATTGTAAAAGCACAAATATTCATGGGGGATTATATTTCATTAATTTGTTGCTGACAATTATCAATGAAATTAAATCCCACACAATTTATATGACTATACATTGAAAAGTATTACTTTCAAAATGACAAAATTAAATGCCCAAGACACTTTTTTAGATGACAAATCAATAAAATTTATCCCCATTAAAATTTGTGCATTTACATTATTTTAATATGAATAGTACATAAATAAATATCTACCTGACACACTTTGCAAAGGACTTTTTACGTCATGAACAATAACCAGACTTTCTGAAAATAAAATAAAGCTTTTGTTATAAATGATATACTTATTTCAATCACAGTATCTGCTGGAATGATGTATAATTGTATGAAAAACATATACATATGGTAAAAAAGAAGTCTGTGTGCCAATGCTCACTAGTAATACCTCCACTCTAATGTAAATATATGCTCTCATTATGGGTTTTGGTGAAATAAAGGTTTTAATTAAATTGGAACTTCTAATAGATTTTCAAAAATGTCCTGCATTTTCAATATACTGTAAATGCACAAATAATGGTTCGATATCCAATTTCATTTATTGTAGACATACTTTTTCCCACTGGGTCATACCGGTAATTCTGCAGAATCTCAATTTCTGTTTAATCTGCGTGCACAAAATTATGCGGATTTCCTAGACTGTCACTATGTGCCTTACATACTATGTGCCTTACAACCACATAGCGTAAATTAATACCACACGGAAAAATGTACTTCTACAGTATTTTGTTGTTCACAATTATCAACAAAGTCTATGTACCCTATAGAATTTTTATAAGTACCAGTACTGAGTATTGTTACTTTGGAAACAACAAAATTTAATGCTTGGAAACCTTTTTTTAGACGACAAATCAATGAAATTTATCTTATCATGTTTATCCCAACTAAAATTTGTGCTTCTACAGCAGGATGAAAATATCTCAAGACATGAAAAGACAAACTGTCATTCACTTCTTTTCCCACCCTACTTTACCAACAGATACTTTATTTGTTTAAATTTTAATTTAGTCATTATATAGAGAAATTAAGCTGAATATATTTAAAAGTACATGACCAACATATGGACTGCACAGCAATGAATGAATACTGATAGCAACAGTTTACCTTAAAGTTAACCAAAATTATAAAAATAAACCAAATATATACCTTCCACCCCTGAAGTTTGTCGAGAAACAGCTGAACACTGTTCAGTGTCACATTCTATTCTTTCTTCAATGTCCTCTGTACTAAGCTTAAAAAATTCAGCTGAAATAAAAAAATATACATATTACATCATTTACATGACAATGTGGTAGTCGGTAATACAGACGAAAGTCATCTATTTTTCAAAATTATAGCTTCTTATACTTTAATGAATATTTATCATTTCATATTTTAATTTACCCGGTCTTTAATTTCTAAATAATTCTATTACTAGGAGTAGTATCCTGGCTTCAGAGCAATAAAACACAGATCAGTTTATAACCAGAAGTCTCTGTCGAGACTGAAGCTCTACTGGTTTGTTCTTATAGCAAAGGAAGCGAAAAATACTTAAGCAGTTGGGAATTGCAACTTTATAACAGCAATAAATAGAATAATGATCCTTGATTAAGTCTTTCTATGTTCTTAGTGTAGTCTACTTGCATGCCACATTATATTATAATCAGACTAAAACTGTATTTGAGTGGTATTTTGAAAGTATTAAACAGAAATTTCTATTTTTAGTAATCAAGGCAATGATGTTCATCGAAGTCTAAATCACATATACAAAATTGTGTATCTTAGTGAAGTCTACTTGTGTGCCAAGTTATATTGAAATCAGTTCAAAACTGTAGGAGGAGTAGTATTTTGAAAGAATTTCACAGAAATTTCTATTTTTAGTAACCACGGCAACACCGTTCATTGAAATCAAAAACCGATACACAGAATTATGTATCTTAGTGTAGTCTACTTGTGCGCCAAGTTATACTGAAATCAGTCAAAAACTGTAGGAGGAGTAGCATTTTGAAAGAATTTCACAGAAATTTCTATTTTTAGTAACCACGGCAACAACATTCATAGAAATCAAAAACCGATATACAGAATTATGTATCTTAGTGTAGTCTACTTGTGCGCCAAGTTATATTGAAATCTAGTCTAAAACTGTAGGAGGAGTAGCATTTTGAAAGAATTTCACAGAAATTTCTATTTTTAGTAACCATGGCAACACCGTTCATCAAAATCAAAAACCGATACACAGAATTATGTATCTTAGTGTAGTCTATTTATGTGCCAAGTTATATTGAAATCAGTCAAAAACTGTAGGAGGAGTAGCATTTTGAAAGAATTTCACAGAAATTTCTATTTTTAGTAACCATGGCAACACCGTTCATCAAAATCAAAAACCGATACACAGAATTATGTATCTTAGTGTAGTCTACTTGTAAGCCAAGTTATATTGAAATTAGACCAAAACTGTAGGAGGAGTAGCATTTTGAAAAATTGTTTACAGACAGACAGACAGACAGACAGACAGACGGACAGACGGACGGACGCCGGACGCATTACTATCGCATAAGCTCTTCTGGTCTCTGACCAGTAGAGCTAAAAATCTACAAGATTTCAACCTCACATTTACAAGAGGAACTAATTTACATGTATAATTAAAAAATAGAGAGTGATTGGCTAAGTTTTATTTCTCCATTTTTTTGTTTTTGTTTTTAGGACAAAGGGAGTTCACCGGGTGTGTTAATTGGGTTGTAAAACTGCCTAAATGATAACATGAAGCCCCTTTTTAAAACTTTTCACAGATTCCTTGATATAAATGATGTAATCATGTGCATTTACAAACTGTTTATGTACTCTGATCTATATTTTTTTGAAAGGTAGTTTTTGTTGTTGTGTAATTTATAATTAACACTGACATTAAAGACCAACAACTTCAAAATTTATTAGACTAAGCGTTTTCTATTGTACTAAATAAATGTACTTGTGCACTAATCATATGTAGAAAGATTTATTCTTTGATTTGTACATTTTCAATCTGAAAGATGTGAATCTTGGAGAAATTATGAGCCTTAATTTTTTAAACATTGCAGACAATCTGCATTTCTCTTGTTAATGAAATGAATTGAAAAAAAAAAAAAAAAACATTGGGTGTGGAGTGGGGAAGGGGGGGGGGGGGGGGGTGTAAAAAAAAAAAAATTTTTTTTTTATTATTGACCTGGACATTCAAATAATTAGGTGTTGTTTGGGGTTATGCATATATCACATGTATACAACGTACCGACATCATCCTCAATGTCCACTTTGGTGGAGTAAGTTTTTCTGTGCCTATCAGAACAATTCCTGCATAAACCTGCAATTTAATAAGAGCTGTTAAATTTTTCTTGCATTTCAACAGATGACAGGCATTTGACATTACATATTTTTTTTTTTTGACACTCGATCAGGATCTTTGAGATCCCAGTTCATGTATACATGGGTTTTGAAGACACTAAAGCATTGAATTATATTTATTTTTTAATGTAGTCTAGTAACTCACTCAATGGTGTACAATACTACACATAGATGTGATATGATTCATAATAAAAATTCATCACAGTTAGACTCCTCTATCCAATTTATGCTACTTTGTCGTTTGAATGAGATCTAGCTAGATCTCTAATTTATATAGCAAAATACATAAAAATGAATATGGAATGTAAATATCTGAATATATATATATATATATATATATATGTTTATTCACCAATCAAGGGCCCACAGGGGGCATGAACAATTATTACAAAATGATAACATTGATTACAATTCTATATTAAGGATAATGTAACATGATATGTAAATCTACATCGTATTAATATTCTCTCATATTACATAAGAAATTCTTAAAAATCATATGAAGATCAATCAAAAATTTATCCTTAAGATTATGTTATAGTGTTTATTAGGCTATATCACTTACCAGAACCAACAGGTACAAGGATCCTCTCATGTAGCCATATTTCTTTGGAAACGGGGCAATTAACTCCTCTGTCTGGTTTCTCCTTCTGGTCTGGTGGGTGCAACGGGTGTGAGCACCGCCTAGAAGTCTTATACTAATAAGTACCAAGACTATTTCTGTGGTTCTGACATATTTTAAATTTTACGGACTCTTTAGTTACTGTAAACAACCCACTTCTGTATAGCAAGAGAAGGCCCTCAGGTATTGTCACTTGTTGGTGTTCAGGGGCAGCTTGACAACGCTTCAAGTGAGGTAATACATCTTTTTGACATGAATATATGCTTTCTGAAAGTCCTCCACATGCAACAGAAGTGCATGACCTTGAAAAGTCACATTCACCCATACCTGGAAGCTGCCATATTCATGCATATACCTTATGTGTCTCATTCCCTAGAGAGTACCTTGAGGGGAGATAACTATGCTGAAACTTCAAGTTTATGTCTCATGAAAGGCATTTTTATTTAATTAAACCTGTTAATTGTTTGATTTTATTTTGAACAATTATTTTTATTTATAGATCAACATTAATGAAAAATAACAATCAGTTAATAAGCAACATTTGTCTTTTATTTATTATGTTTATGTTAATTTTTACCCAAATTTCTCTGATAATTTAACACTGATTAACTACTCAAAAAACGACAGATTTTCTCAAAACCCAAACAAGTCCTATTGCATAGAGAATTCAAACATACTTTACTTTTTAATTAATTTTGAATTTAAAAATAATAAGCGTCCAAACCCTGTTTAATATGAAGATTTTTATGGTACCTTTACATCCGAAACGATATTTCTCTCAAAAGAGACATTTTTGACGGGTTGCTATGGCAACATTGCATGTTTGACAAGAAATCTTTTATTATCAAACATAATTTATAATCTTGAATTTTTATATGAAATAAGTAGTTTATGTGTAAATGATTGCTTTTGGCTCTAATGCTGCATTGAAATTGAATGAAATTCTCCCTTTATTTGCCCTTTCTTGTGCTTTATTTTCCTGGTTTTAATGACGGCCCTGTTACTATAAATAGAACAAGCTATCAATTTTCTCACCTCACGATTTTTTATCAGTGATGTGTACCTTATCAATATTTAATGGAATAATGACATTTAAAAGTACCTTAAAAATTGATATTTTACAATTCTGCCTGGTTTTCTCATAGACCCACAATTAAAAACACGACAAATGGTCCATATCTTGACAGTGCCCCCATTTGACTACAATAAAGGCAAGGTAACAAAATTTCATTCTAATTTTTGTAAGCATAAAACATACAAGTATATTTCCAAAAATTAAAATTTTTTATCATTCCGTTTTCGTAATTTTCAACTAGATCGGGCCTCGTTAAAGATAATGTGACCTTGACTTTTTCAAGTGACCATAGTTCAGGGTCATGGTACACCCTCATATTACGATCAAACTTTGTGCCAGATAGGAGCATTCAATGCTTTTTCTTGTTATGGACCAACCATGCTGATGATGTGACCTTGATCTTGGTCAAATTGAATGACCTTAAATCAAGGTTATGTCAAACCTGATTTGTGTGTATTACATGTATGACGTATGTTCTGTCCTGTGGAGTGCAGTTAAATTTGGACCACTTTTAATACATACATCAGGGGCTGACAAATAGATTTTTAAGGCACTTGCCCAAGGGCAAACTTGTACATGGTCAAAATTCACTTGCCCTACCTGAATTTTTGTCTGCCTACCATTAACTTATACTGTATTTATAAATATTTCAAAAAAGAGAAAGACAAATACTGAGTAGAATATTGGCATACATATTGATTTTATTTTTGATAATTGATTAAGTCACTTGCCCACAGGCAAGTGATTGATAATTAAAATTTCACTTGCCCAACCCTAAAATTCACTAGCCCCAGGTGTTGGGCAATGGGATTTGTCATCCGCTACATGTAACTGATTTTTATTATTCCCTGGTTGCAGTCTTACTCTTCAGTTGAGTGATGTAGCCCCTCGGGGCCTCTTTTTGGACAAGAGTTTGCATTTATTGGCAGGTCCAGATTAATTCTTTTGCAGTTTTCTGAGGGGTCTATTGATTATTGTGAAGGTGCATTATTTATCTGAAAAATCTTCTTGGTATTGCTCTAAATCTGTATTTAGCAGATAAATGAAGTTTATATATTAGTAGTTTAACGATGAACAAGGATCTCAGTCTTACCAACTTAATTGTGAATATTTTGTCCCCTGAGTCAGGGGTTGATGGCGGTGGCTATTAAATAAATGGTGGTAATGCATTATTTTTTTTTTTTTAAATCTTTTCTGACTCCCTTGGTTTTCAGTGGAAAAACTTCATGATAATTATGAGAAATGATTTTGAATTATTTTAATTGAAATTCATGTCCCTGGGGTAAGTGGTTTATGGTTGAAGGGTGAGACTCGTTTGTTTTCAGTATAAAGTGTAATACTGTATACTAGAAATTCATCATCATGATCATCATTACCATCATCAACATCATTATAATCCTCCTCATCATCATCATGCAGTATTATTGAGGGAACAGACAAGCATACATACTAAAGGCATGGTTATGATCATGATGAGCAAGGGTGCATTTTCCAAAATTATAGATATTTTAGACCCTATCTAAATTAATTTCATACCAGATTTTAAAATTTTGAACCCTTTAGTCAATCAATTTCTTTCAAAAGAGTCACCCGTGTGGCCCAATGGTTAGAGCGTCTGCTTTAGAGTAGTTGGGTAATGAGTTGATCCTTATGTCGCAGGTTAGAATCCCACTGTGGGACAGGTTCTTAGGATGAGACAGTATAAACTGAGGTCCCGTATGTGTCACAGTAGGTGCTGGCACGAAAAAGATCCCTCCCTGCTAAATGGCCGTAAGTGCCGAGTATAGGACAAAATTTGTAGCTCTCCATCAGCGCATGGCGGTGTCTCCATATGAGTGAAAAATTCGCAAGAGGGATGTTATTAAAACAACATTCAATCAATCAATCTTCCAAAAGATGTTGTTTCCCTTTACTATTGCTGAACGTAATAATAGATGAATTAAAATGGGACAAAGATACTGTACTTTTATTCATTAAATGATACAGTTAATACCATGAAAATGGAATTTAACAATGTTAAACATAACTATGACTGCTATATTTCAGTGAATGTGGATGGAATCCATTCTGGTAACAGCTCCCCGACGTCACACCATCTGTGTTAGGAAGGGACAAGCCACCAACGGAATCCAGGAAATTTGGGAGCAACACCTCCTCTAAATCTTCTCCTTCATCTGACTCCATGGCAACTGGCAAGGAGCAACATTTAAAACAACACCCCAGCTCCTCCTGATCCTCCATTGAGTTGTGGAAGCAGCTCCCATTTGTTGCACCCTCCAGCTCCAGAAACCAATTTTTGAACAATAAATCATCTCCTTCACAAAGTTCAGAATCCAAAACAGAGTACAAGTCTCCTCTCTCTCCTTCATTAAGTCACGGAGCTCAGTCTGAAATTGAATTAACTCCATTTTCTAAAGATCAAGATCATCATTACACCAATTTAGGAAAATACATTAGGGAAAAGTTTTACAATCAGGAGATTTGTGATGTAGCCTTCAAAATAGGGGAGAAAATAATTCCTGCCCATAAGATCGTGTTGGCTTCTTCTGACACTCCCTGCAGCGCACTTTTATAATTTTAGAGGTAACTGCTTCTTGATGAAATGCCTCCTTTTCAAATAAACTTAATTGTGAAAAGTGTTTAAAGTCTCAGTCCTGTGCCAGGATCATGCAAGTGTTTCCTTGTCTAATTCAAAAAAGGATCTTGCTTCTTTTACATGGAGAAAGTTCTTCCCGCAATCACATTCAACATGTCTGTGCAATAATCCACTTCCTCGATGCTTCTTACAGTCAGAAGCATTTTAAGCAATTCTTCATAACTTACTCCATTTATATGATCCAGACACAGCTTTTTAAGATCATGAACTTTAAAGACATGTGCAAGTTTGAGGAGATCAGAAATGATGGTTGCCTCAATCTTAAGAACTCAAGGAATACCATTACAGATTTTTCCTATTCAGACTTTGTGTTTAAAGAGTCCTGTGACAGGATCATGGAGAGTGTATCCTTGTCCAATTCAAAAAAGGATCTTGTTTCTTTTACATCAGGAGAAAGTTCTTCCCAATCACATTTAATATGTCTCTGCAATAATCCACTTCCTCAATGCTTTTGACCATTGGAAGAATTGTAAGGAATTCTTCATAACTTACTTCATTTATATGATCCAGGCAAAGCTTTTTTATATCATGAACTTTAAAGATGCTGATGCAAAGTCTGAATGCAGGATGTTTTTTGCTGTTATTTCTTGGATATACCATCACGACTATGATATTAGAATACATTAATTAGAAGAACTGTTATCTTACATGAGATTTGATCCGACTGATGTCTCCAAAGGAGCTTTTCATCAGATCAGATGTTTTAAGATCTTTCCACCTTTGCGTAATCACCAGAAAGTTGTGGATATGATCACTATGGCCAACTGGTCAGTATACTTGTAATTTACAATGAAATAATGAACATACTGTAAAATCTAATGTACTTTTTACACGGTGTTATAATTTTATGGAATAACAATTTCTGTTCAACTTTTGGGCATAATTGGTAAGCAATCCATTCCTAGATTGATTAGGTTTTATGTAAGATGTAATTGAAGTATGCAGGGACAGAATTTCAGGTGGAAAAAGTTTGACATGTGTGCATGATGCATAAAAATACCTCATTAAGAAAGTTTTTCCACTTACAAAATAGATTTGAGAGTTAATACTTATACTACGTACATCACAGCAACAGCAGCAATTCAAATACTAGCTATTATGTTTATAGAAAAAAAGATGTGCTTGTGAAACACTGATGCCCCTGTATGGCAGCTTATGGCAAAGAGCATGGTTTCTTAAATACAGACAAAAGGTCAAGGTCAAGATTGTCAGTATCAAGAGAAATATATATTATTATAACAGTAACTTGATCCGAAGGGTCGTATCACGTCGAGTTGACAGGCGGGGATCATCAGATCTAACGCGCAAGAAAAATAACATCATAATTTCTGCGTACTAGGTCATCAGTTTCAGAGAATGGTGATATGGATTCAGAAAACAACATGTTTGTGATCTGGAAAATCGCACATTTTCACATGTCACATGATAACATTAATTCAACAGTAAAATTGGGTGATACACATTAAGTATATAATAAAGGTATTTTCCTAAGGAATACACCTTTGAAATACAAAAGCCATAGTACTAACTTTCAGAAGTTAATAGCCAAGGTTAAATTTTTTTGAAAAGTGGGTCAAAGTATAAGGTCAACCGGGTTAAAAATTATAATTTACCAGTATGCAAAATTTTAAGTCTTTTTCACATTAATGAATACACAAGAGAAGTATGAAGCCCAGTAGCACCAACTGTTCAAAATGGCAAAAGTTAACAAGTTTGGTATTTCTAGGTCACTTGAGTTTACTTTGGTGACCTATGACTATCTATTTGCATCCATCCTTGTGCACTGTCCATTGTCTATTGTATGTTAAATTAACATTTCAACATTTTCAGCTTAATTCTTCTCTGAAATCACTGAACCGATTTCAACCAATTTTAGCATATAGCATCCATGGGTGATAGGAGTAAAAATTGTGTGGTGGTACCCATGCTAGGAAAGGTCTAGTGTCGATCAAGGATTAGAAAACTTGTGAAATAAGAAAATAGCTATAGCCCCACCCAGTCAAAAGTTTTGGTCAACTGGTTAAGTTTTTGCAAACAAACAGATATTAAGCAGACAGAGAAACCGATAGATAGATGTACAGGACTAAAAGTATATTCCCCTGAATTTTTGATTACCTGGGGCATAAAGGCATGTTGTATTTGTATGCCATTATCACAATGGGAGGATTGATCAAGGGCTATTGCCAACATTAAGAGACCCCCACTCAAAAGTTTTTGGATGCATTAAGAAACATCCATTCAAGGGTCTTCACGTGCTTTAAGAGACACCCATTCAAAGACCATTGCATGAAACATATGGAGATAACGAACATTATTCAAGATCAAACGTCAAGAAAACAATACAAAATAGGAACAGAGCAAACACAGACCTCCAAAACATCGGAGGGAGGTGGGATCAGGTGCCATGAAGGAGTGAGCATCCCCTGCCGACCGGTGACACCCACCGTGTGCTCTTTATCATGATCGGGAAAAAACGGAAAAGTCCATCATCAATTCAGTGTATTAGTAATAGATTAACAACTAGTATGAAAAACGTCAGTCAGCATTTGACTCAATGATAATATTCTGACAAGGTCATTGTATCGACCATAGAACTTACAAAATGATGAGTTAACACGAAACTGCTGCAATTTTTGTTTAAACAACTTGTTTGTCAATAATTTACCTCGTTTTAGAAATTGTTAATACGTAGAGTATGTTCCTGCGTATCGAATCAATTGAGATATATCCGTATCCAGGTGACGAAAGCATATAGCTGCATAAGTAAGTGAAGTTAACGTTTTAAAGAAATTCCATTTCAAGAGCCTACTTCCGACTATTTCAAGAGCCAATGTAGACATTGAGAGAATCTTTAAAGAGCCAATGTTCTAGATCCCTGCTCAATATCCCAGAATGCAAAGTGTAGGAAAAAATTGCAGCTTTCCACTGGCAAGTGGTGGCGTCTCCATATGAGTGAAAAGTTCGAGAGGGAAGTTCAACCCACAGGTACTTGTAGACTGGACCCCCCCCCCTCCTAAATATTCAACCCCGCGTGTTGGATATTTTTGTCAAAAATTTTATTTATTACCCTTATTCATCATCATTACAATAGAAAAAAATCGATGAAACCCCAATATGATCGCTACAAAAAACAAGAGGCCCATGGGCCACATCGCTCACCTGAGTACTGTAGCTATGAAAAAGTAGAAATTGGTTTATTATTGAAAAGTTAAAATCCAAAAATAATCCCATGATCAATCATGGATTTGCTATTCTTCAAAGAATTTTCCTATATATTTCTATGTAAAACTTTGGTCGGCCATTTTGGCCCCGCCCTACCCCAAGGGGTCATGATTTGAACAAAGTTGAATCTTCACTAGCTGAAGATGCTTCCATATAAATTTGATGAATTATGGGTTTGTCATTCTTGAGAAGAAGATTTTTAAAGAATTTTCCTATATATTTCTATGTGAAACTTTGGTCGGCCATCTTGGCCCCGCCCTACCCCCGGGGGTCATGATTTGAACAAACTTGAATCTACACTACCTGAGGATGCTTCCATATAAATATGATGAATTATGCCTTTGTCATTCTTGAGAAGAAGATTTTTAAAGAATTTTCCTATATATTTCTATGTAAAACTTTGGTCGGCCATTTTGGCCCCGCCCTACCCCCGGGAGTCATGATTTGAACAAACTTGAATCTTCACTACCTGAGGATGCTTCCATATAAATTTGATGAATTATGGCTTTGTCATTCTTGAGAAGAAGATGTTCAAAGAATTTTCCTATATATTTCTATGTGAAACTTTGGTCGGCCATCTTGGCCCCGCCCTACCCCCGGGGGTCATGATTTGAACAAACTTGAATCTACACTACCTGAGGATGCTTCCATATATATATGATGAATTATGCCTTTGTCATTCTTGAGAAGAAGATTTTTAAAGAATTTTCCTATATATTTCTATGTAAAACTTTGGTCGGCCATTTTGGCCCCGCCCTACCCCCGGGGGTCATGATTTGAACAAACTTGAATCTTCACTACCTGAGGATGCTTCCATATAAATATGATGAATTATGCCTTTGTCATTCTTGAGAAGAAGATTTTTAAAGAATTTTCCTATATATTTCTATGTGAAACTTTGGTCGGCCATTTTGGCCCCGCCCTACCCCCAGGGGTCATGATTTCAACAAACTTGAATCTTTACTACCTGAGGATGCTTCCATATAAAGTTGATGAATTTTGGCTCTGTCATTCTTGAGAAGAAGATTTTTAAAGAATTTTCCTATATATTTCTATGTAAAACTTTGGTCGGCCATTTTGGCCCCGCCCTACCCCCAGGGGTCATGATTTCAACAAACTTGAAACTTTGGTCGGCCATCTTGGCCCCGCCCTACCCCCGGGGGTCATGATTTGAACAAACTTGAATCTACACTACCTGAGGATGCTTCCATATAAATATGATGAATTATGGCTTTGTCATTCTTGAGAAGAAGATTTCTAAAGAATTTTCCTATATATTTCTATGTAAAATTTGGTCGGCCATTTTGGCCCAGTCCTACCCCTGGGGGTCATGATTTGAACAAACTTGAATCTACACTACCTG